TTGAATCCAGCTTGGTCTACAGGGTGAGTTCAAGGACAGGCTCCAAAGCAATACGGAGAAACCCTGTCTCGAAAAACAAAACAAACCAAAACAAAACAAAAATTTACCTGGCCATTATTCTCCTTGAGTTTGGATACAGTGCATATTATTCTAATTTTCATTTGTTACTAGGCACATACACAAAAATTTATCCTTGCTTTTGTTTATGAGTAGAGAAAATTTGTAATTATGGTACCATGATCATAGAACATGTCTTCCCAATTCCAAAATCACTAGAATTAGAGGCTTATGTCATTCACTCTTCCTAATGAATGTTGCATGCTTAGCTCTGCAGTTTTTAACAGTTGCACAATAAACGTTTCATTTTCACAGTAATAAACACAATCGGGGCATCTTGTTATACCTAAGTTGAAAAATAGAAATTAAAAATTCTGTTATCTCTGTCCCTATAGCATCTTTGAAACTCTTCACAGTATTAAACTGTCAGTGATTTCTTTTAAAAATTTTATCTACCAGTACAAGTTACAACATGAAATCATGTTAAAAACAAATAATAACTAAAAGTTGAAGATCAAATGTAAATTTTGAAAGAATTAAAAGCGTAGAAATAAAAATTCAAAATATCTTTTCCTTACCAGGAGATGTGGATTACTTATCATCCTTTTCTATGGTTGATATCCGATAGGTTAAGCATATTAATTTGCTAGTTTTATGGAATGGTATCTGGCTAATGAAAACACACAGATGCTTTTGAAAGGGTAGAAACTTATAAGAGCCTTGTCCCAGATCTCCAGAGACAGAAAGAACCCTTTCTTTATTTCCACAGAATGAGGTTGGACAGAGCATGTAAGCCAGTTCACATTCATATCCATGAAGTCTGAGTGACTATAAGGAAGATGGTAGGGAGGCATTGTAAATAGCATACACAGTTACCAGTGTTTGCTTAAAAGCCAAAAGCACACAGAAATACCATCTGAAGAGAAACATGAGGTTAATAGACTTATTCCCAAAGAAAGCACGAACTGCCTTCTCCCAGAAGTAGTAAATGGATTGAACCCATCTGAACATCAGTTTTTCTAACACCTCTTTGAACTTCTAAATATCTCAAACATTCAAGTCCTCTCATTCCTTTACTTCTTTATTTTCATTTTTTAAGTTTACAGAAATACTGTTGAAATGGATGGAAACTATATAATACATAGTCACACAGCAGATACTCAATAATAGGACTGAGATTTAGTTTAAATCTTTGTATTTATGGTTTCAAATGGGTTTTTAATGCATCAATATAGAGCATCTATTTAAATATTACACTGAGGACATAGATCATCAGAAAGCAATTAAATTTGTTCTAGGAACAAAATTAATGTAAAGGTCACAGATTTAAGTTCTCCATGAAACTATCATTGTGAATGGATATATTTTTTCTACCTATTCTTTCCATAATTGTAATTTTCCAAGCTCTGATTTGCACGAGAAAAATTATGCTCTACTCTTTGGAACACTTTTGATGTGAACACTATTTTGCTGTTGTTTCTGAGCCTGTACTTGTTATAAATATGACAAATTCATATTATTCTAGCCAAAGAGTCATACTTTAAATTATTCTTCACACATTTTAATGATGTTCTGTATTGTTCTTAATGAAGGTCAGACCTGTGAGATAATATGCTATTATTGGTTGAATTGTAGCTATTTGTATGCATTATACATTTGACAAGAATACAGCTTCTGAAGAAGACGTTCATTTACATAGGAAATGCTTTTCTGTCAGCAAACCAAAGCATGCCCTCATCCAAATATAGAAAAGTGTTGGTGGATTCATAGTTTTATTCCATAAAGAAAAAAATACATTTATTTTCTTTGATGCTTGGAGGATGAAGACAAAAGGCCATGTTGTATTTATTTTATTTCTCTGCTCTTTTTACTTGATCTGTTGTTTCTTTGTTTCATTTGTGTGTACAAATATTTGGTAGTGTTTAGTTATTGATCTGATTATTCACTTACCAAGGACACCATACCTGGCATTCAGTGTTTTCCCATTGAAGTCTTGCAGAAATATCAAAGAAAGCCTTGACATGCATTAATTGTGAGGAAACAGAGGACTATAGTCTGGTTTTAAATGAAAAAAATTGCAGGATAAATTAAAACATACCCCACTAAGGGAACCATCAGCTGGACTCACTTTGTGAGTATGGATACACCCTAGTTCCTGCCCCAGAATGAAAAGATACGTAGGGGAAACTGATTGGTCTTTGGACCAGTTCAAAATAAAGTCATATGAAAGTATGTTCATAGTTTTCAGACTTGTTATTCTTTCTTTGTTTTCCTGTCACTTTTGGTCCAACATGAAGGAAGATGCTTTGGATTATACTTCACTTTGTTTTTTCCTAAGTCCTAGAGCAAAGGGGTGTTTTTAGTCTCTTAGATTGTACATATAGGAAATCTCATTATGGAATGATTTCCTATAAATGTAATCCATACAAAAAGCAAATCTGTAAAGGCAACATTAAAATTCTTCAAAGTTAAAATTGATATGAATTATTGATTTTGTTTTCTTTTCTTTTTATTTAAAGCCTGGGAAATATCCAAAATCAGTGTGGAATTTCACAATGAATTCCCTTTGACTAAGTGCAGGTTCCTGAGGCTCTTCTTAAGTTTTGTTCAATACTAATAGATTTCTCTCATGAAATAAAATATGTTGTTTACTTGACTCATTTTGATTCTCAAAATGAACTTCATTTATTTATCTCTGCTCTTACAGCTCATAGAAAGGACAGATGGTTTCTTTTAACTTCTTTTCATAATGTCCAATGAAACTAGGTAATCATTTCCTACCTGATCCATGATTGATGGTACCAATTTCTTTACATCTTTAAAATGAATTTTTAAAATGCTTAAGGGGAAATACTACCAAAAATGCATATTGAATGGTATATGGGGAAATCAACATTTAGAATAATAGTTTAAATCTTTATTCATCTCGTAAGTGTACATCTTTGCAGCCCTGGGGGACATTATGGTCATCACTACTGCAGTTCACCCAGGAGCTATGACTGAATCTGAAGTGTTTCTCACATGAATGTGGTAATGCATGCCTGTATTTCCTCACTCAAGGGAATGAAACACATATGAGGACAACTACAGTATCTGTCTCAACTACAGAGACAGATACTGAAGAAAAACTAAAACCTAAGAATTTGTAATAAAAATTATAAAAGGAATAATGACACATTTGTTCTTTTGGTAAATGAAAACAAATTTTAAATCATTCCTCCTTCATTTATTGTGTGTGTGTGTGTGTGTGTGTGTGTGTGTGTGTGTGAGAGAGAGAGAGAGAGAGAGAGAGAGAGAGAGAGAGAGAGAGAGAGTCCATGTCTGTGTGCATACTGGACCACAGTACACATGAGTGGAAGTTAGCAAGTACTTGAGTGTTTGGTCTTTTTCTTCTATGTCAGCCGAAGAATTAAATTCAGGTTGTCAGGTTTGGCAGTAAGAATCTTTACCTGCTGATCTCATTAGCCCTTCATTTTGGTGAAGTGTCATATACCCCTTAATTTGGACATACTGAATTATCTTATAAAAATAATTCAGTTAAATTTAAAACAATTAAGGAGAGAGAGGAGAGACACACAGACACACAGATACACACACACACACACACACACAGAGAGAGAGAGAGAGAGAGAGAGAGAGAGAGAGAGAGAGAGAGACAGACAGACAGACAGAGACAGACAGACAGAGATTACAGAGGTGTAACATATTAGGTACTTGTTTTTCACTTCTTTTGCCTCAGACCTGAGATCCCTCAGTGCTGAGCAAGGAAGAGTAAAATGACCGAATAAAGGAAAGACCAAAATTTGAAATACCTTTCGATTGTGGTTTTGGGATAGCCTTGAAAGAATTAGTGAGTGATACACAGTCATCATCTAATCTGTGAATCTTATGAGCTCCATATAGGAAACTGAAACAAAACACAGATGGCTATTGAAATATCCAGGGCAACTTAATTTTTTCTTGACTTATGAACAGGGACAATGTGGCATCATGAGATACCAAGAATGTTGAGATTGTCTTCATCTTAACATGATCAGTACTCCCTGAAAAGTTTGAGATCAAGCATCAAACGTGCTTGTTGCCATTTCTCACAAGAAAGCCACACCTGTAAGTATGCATCCCCGTCAATCTGCAGTAGAATGTGTATGCTTACATATATTAATACTACTTTCTTTAGGAATCAATTCAGAACATATCCCATTATTGTTCTGACATCTAGCAGAGATACTTAAGGGATAACTCTTGTGGTTTTTTATTCCTTATATCAAAATTTCAAAACATATATGACAGTTTTAAAATCCATTCTAAATAGACAGTAAATTGAAAGGTATGTTGAAATAGTAAAAATATTCTATATCCAAATGAGGTAGAAATCACCTCTGAAAGTTTAATGGCTTCATTTAAATCTTGCCAAATCTATCATCTGGACAGTGAATTACCAGGTGCATGCAAAGGGTATTATTGACCTATTCATCTAGCTTCTTTCTCTCTTGCAATTCAAACTACAAACAACGTGATTCTGATTGCGCTTCTGTGTGCAGCTGTACTGAGATTGATTACTGCAACTCTTGTGCCCAGTATCATTGCCACTGGCAGGCCTGGAGGTGAGAGCCTTTCCAGTGCTTTGCAGAATATGTCTCCTAGTTTTATGGCGAAAACTCTTTTTCCATGGTTGCTTATTTCATCTTGCTCCTGAATATTTTATTTAAAAAAGAACAGTAGTGTGTGAATGCTTTTAGACTTGGCTTGTCAAGTGTTTTCTGGCTGTTTATTTTATAGTACAGTGGGCAGTAATGCACTTGCTGGCAATAAAGAGGAGTGTTTTCCTTTCTTTATGCCATCACTTCTGTTTATATCTAAGAATAGTGAAGGATCATAGTCTCTCACATTCTGTTTTATTAATGATTTCATCTTATAAACACATGTATGTATAAATGGTGGATATTAAATATGTATGCAGAAGGATATAGGATTATAACTTGAAAACTAAAGTATTTATGATCAAAAATACAACTTATCTTTAAGAGAAAAAGCAGTGCTAACTAAATCTTCCTAAGATATATCTTGATATTTCTTTGCCTTTCATTGCTCTGCAAGGGAAATAAATAGAGGTCACATAAAATGTTTACATCATTTTGCTTAAACTAGGTTCTCGGATTTCATTCCTGTCCAGAATATATTTGGTATATGATGTTGAAATTCTTCTTTTCAATTCCTTCATTTTAATAGCAAGAAATCTGTGAATCCTGTAAGGTCAGAATGAATAGTAAATCATTGACTGAAGTAATTTAACACTGTCTTTATTGGCTGTTAAGTATTAAGTAAATGCTAGATACCATACTTTTGATTTTGGTTAGGTATCACAATGTATATCTCGATTACTTAAGAACAGCTGTATTGTTTCTTGTTCTCAAAAGAATGTTCTAACCAGGAATAGGTCAAATATATTTGTTTGTTAACTTGCATTACTTGCATAATGCTTAGTTATATAATAGATGATTGTAACATGAATATTATAATATAAATCCAGAGACAGATACTGGGACTCAAGCTGAAGAGCAGAGAAGCAAAGCAGTCAATCTGCCAGTGATCTCTTACCTCTACAAGGGCTGGGGAAATCCTAACCTCAATTTAGCTGGTGACTAATCACCTAAGACTGAAAGTCCAATACTGAATCCTGCATGAGACCCTGGGCTCCTTCTTATATACCTCTTTAGTGGTGGGAGTAAAAGTCTGAGTTCTGTTTCCCTTTAGACTGATTCATAATCATATAGCTCTGGGTGGCCTTGAACTCACAGAGATACATCTACCTCTGTTTCCTGAGTCCTGATATTAAAGGTGTGTGCCAACATTACCTGGCCTTTAAGGCTGTGGCTAGCTTTGAGTCTGATCTCCAGGCCAGCTTTTTTTAGATCCTAAACAATATATCACTATAGATGATGTATATCATCTACTGCCTTTTTATAGTCTATCTATCTATCTATCTATCTATCTATCTATCTATCTATCTATCTATCTATCTATCTGTCTATCTACCACCTATTGATCTATCATCTATGCCTATTATTGTTGATTAACTTTAAAAACGAGTGAGAAATTGTCATTATATGTAGTAAAGAATTGATAGTTTCAGGACAATTCTGAATTCTAGTTTTATGGAGATGCTTATTACTTTAAGTATAAATTTTCATTCTTTTACTTTTTTGAAGATTTATCAATTTTATGTAGTATTCTGCCTGCATGTATGCCTGCAGGCCAGAAGAGGGCATCAGATTTCATTACAGATGATTGTGAATCACCATGTCTTGCTGGGAATTGAACTTAGGACCTCTGGAAGAGGAGTCAGTGCTCTTGTCCTCTGGGCCATCTCTGCAGCCCTGAACTTTCATTCTTTTAGATGAAGTCTAGATGGAAAAAACAAAAACAAAATTATGAGGCCTGAAACAAACAATTTACTAGTGATATACATAGAGTAATAATGACAAAACCAGTGATATTTTCATCTTGGCTCTTAGCCTGCAAATATAAAATTGCAAAAACAGGCAACACTTCCTTGCAATCATAGAGCACACAACATCTTCAAGGTGCCATTCATCACCTGACTGTTTCCATGTGGAGTTGAAGCTACACCATTTAAAGGCCACTCTATACTTTATTTCATGACTACTGATCATATGAGGATCAGTCTTTGGTGAAACTGACCCTATGGGTGAGAAATATCTTCACAGTCTTAGTCCACTGGAAGAGGTTGATTTATTTTTTCATACACTACTTTATCTCCAGTTATTCAGCTGTCGTGCTTCAGAGTCTTGATCACACTGCCCTGCCATTCACCAGAGTTTCCCAGTCAGATCACTATCTCTCGCTCTGCCCATTCAGAGAAGAGGATTAGGGCATTCAACTGTGTGAAGCTTAGCCAACAGAGAATGATTCTCTTCACCACTGTTCTTCCTCTCACTAGAGCCACTTCCAAATGAAGTTTCAGGCCTAGAATCATGCACTTGGGTGGTACATATCTACCACTACTATTTTTAATGAGATATGAATGCTTTTTTCTTACCTCAGATTTCTGGTTCTGAGGATTCCCCATGAGGCTATGTTCTGGCTAAAGAATATCTTGAAACTGAAAAAAGAGTAAAGGCACATGAGTTACTTCCTCACAAAGCTTACATGTACCTCCAGGACATTCTGCAACTTGATCTCAAGTCTCATTTGAAGATGGATGTAAACCATATAGCCAATTTTGACATGAGCATAAATTGTTAATGGTGACTTAGTGTTTCAAGGGTCTAAACTGAAATGTTTGGTCTCTGTTGAATTCTGGGTCTTCAAGGGGATATTCATACTATTCCTGATAAAGCTCAGGGAACATAGTTCTGGAGATGCTCTTTTTCTGGGCATGACAGTCATCATAGTCTTCAGCTCACAGCATCTGTGGTTGCCTGTGCTGGGTTTGGACAATACTTGGCCTGTCCATAATCACACATTGCAGATGAACTCAAGAGAACTACATCCTCTATGATGAATTATTGATTACTGATGGATTGTGTGGCTATTTATTGTCTTCAGTTGTGTACCTAATCATGCACCAAAGCAGGTTATACTTTAAGTTCCAAATTCATGTTCACACACACAGCTCTTGTTAACTCAGTGGGTCAAAATATAAAACAAAAAGATAAATATTTCAGAAAGGCATTTTTAGGGAAAATAAGAATAGTAAAGGTATCACGAACAGGAAGGGGAGGTGAGAGTAATCAGGACACACAAACACACATACACACACACACACACACACACACACACACACACACAAACACACACACACACATATGTCTCTGTGTGTGAATTGTTCAATGATAAATTAACTTTTAATGAAAGCTACACAAATATTTGGTAAGAAGACAGAAACTGTCTCATAGGATTAATACTGAAAGTTTAATAGCACAGCTCTGATGCTGGTTGAAAAGTGCCTTCTGTGATTCACCTATAAAGGACTGCCATGCACATATGCATTTTTTTGAACATAATGGCATCTATTTCCAGAAGCCTATCCAGAAAACAACTTTTGATGTGATTTTGGTTCTACAGTGACTGCTTTGTTTGTATCCCACTAGAAAAAATAGCTTGTTGGCCTTCTTGGTAGTTTGATAAGTAGTTTAGTAGTTTGATACTTAAGTGACATTGATTTCCCCCAAATTCTGCAAAAAGCCAATTATTATTATATTTCTTTCTTGGTGCTAAGAGTGGTTAGTTGAAATCACCTGTCCTGTGTCTTGGATTACATAGATGTGTTCTAGACAACTGAACTCTCAGTAATGCTGTGAAAGTGTTAGGAATCTGGATTTTTGTGAGAAGTTTATTCTGATGATTAGTCTACTGAGGTTTGTAAGTGGTTGGTTGCTTTTACTTTGTTTGTTTTTGTTGTTTTTTTCCAGGTTCAGTGGTAGGAAATCATCAACACATTTAATACAATATGAAAGGGAAGAGGGTGGATTCTTCCCAGACTAAGCCTGAAGATAGTGTTTGTACTATCTTGAAATAGTCAATGAGTGTTTAGTTATAGATCTTTATCGATGAAACTACTGCACATAACTTCAGGAGTTCCATAATGAAAGAAATGAACATGATGTGTAGGTGGGAATGAGAGCTGTGCACATAGTCATGCCTGACGCATAACACATATGCAGAACAGTTAATATAAGCACACTGTTAAGTCCATGGAAAGACTGCCCCCTTTCCAACATCCTCTGTCTCTTGAGCAGGTCACACATGCCAGCTAAATGGACACATTTAGGCAACATTCCCATATTTGTCACTCCCTGAACACACAGATTTCTGCTCACTCTCCCAGAGTGGAAATAACTTTCAAGATATCATGGTGAAAGGTGGAGGATCCTATTTTCTCTTTCTTAAAAGAATAGGCTTCATTTCTGGGTCAAATAACTAATGATAGTTTGTGGAATATGTTTATTTCATTTCCTCATTCTAGAATTGTATCAATAACCACACTAGCCATGGACATGTATTTCTTTCAAAAATAGACAATCCAGTTCTTTCATTCTATTGAATCTCTTGTTTGAGATGACAAATTGAAAAAAAAATGGTATTCTGATAATATCAACAGTCATATCATTATTAATGTGTTCAGAGTATTTTAGTAACAGCATACTAAATATCATCTAAAGCATATAAACTTTTCTGATATACTTATTGATACAATGCTATAAAATATCAATACAAGGACATTTGATTAACAAGACTTGGATTTTCTTTTATCATTTGACTTAAATTTATAGGGATGCAACTCTTAGCCAATATTTGAACTTCAAGCAGCAAAACCATTTTGTAAAGTTCTGAGCTAGTCATGAATATAGACTTTTTGTCCTCAGCTACTATTGTTAGTTAATTTAAAGCCCTTTCCTCGTCATTGCTAAGTGCTTTAGTCAGACATGCATTCTCCAAATGAGATGTGGCTTTGATGGATAAACTCAATTAAAGCCAAGGCATTAGATAAGTTAAGCAGGGAATTGGACTGATCTTTACCAATCTACCTTTTAAAAATACAATAAGTATTTCAAAATGAACCAGTCATAAATTATATGGAAAATATGTGAGTAAAACAGATTGAAATGAGAATCAATTACTCTATGCAAATTTCTGTAGCTTAGAAAGCAACATTTGTTTTCCTCCTTGACTGTTGTAGTTTGTATGAACTTTTATTAAGTAAAATCAGACAACTGCCTATTGTCTGTCACCACAATAAAAACCCACCCACTTTATAGTATTTAATTTTGTTAAGTCAGCTAGAGTAATTAATGATTAAAAATATGAGCTTGCTAATAATATGAAAACCTTGAAAAATCAAGAATATTTTTGAAATTGTTGAGTATTTTAAGACATAACTTAATGAATAGCTTGCTTGTGATAAGCCCCAGTGTTTTAACTATCTTCTACTCATTTCCTTTTTTAACTGTTAACTTAAATTTTTCATATTCTCTGCGACCTATATAAGAAATTGTTCTGGGTATTATAGGTCTTTTAAAAAAAGATGTAAAGAGAAACATGTGAAGAAAACTTTAATGACTTCAAATAATAGTCCTACACACACACACCCCACAGAGAAAGAGGCAGAGACAGAGAGAGAGCGAGAGAGAGAGAGAGAGAGAGAGAGAGAGAGAGAGAGAGAGCCATCTATCCCTGAAAGGAACATGTTGATTTAATTGCACTATTTCTAATTTAGAGGAAACTTTGATATCAACATAGAATTCAATTATTTTGCAGTAGTGTGAACAGAGAATATGAATTTTAAATTTTTACTCAGAACAAATATAGCCAATGAGACAATCTATAGTAATTAGGAATTGGATTGTGAAACACTAATAAATCTTAATTTAAATTCAAAGCCTCCAAAAACTAACAACTTGAATCCACTATTTAATTTGTGTGTGGGAGGTGTGGAGAATGGGTTTCTCTGTTTAACTATCCTGGATGTCCTGGAACTTGCTTTGTAGACCAGGCTGGACATGAACGCACTGAGATCTGCCTGCCTCTGCCTCCCAAGTACTGGTTTTAAAGGTGTGTGCCATAACTGCCTGGCCAGGATTTAATTTTCAAGTGCAAAATATGGACAGCAATCACCAGCCACTTCATAATGTTTGGATTTCTGGTTACTTGAGATCAAACACTTAATAGGAGATTGATCACAGTAAGTTATAGGTTTTTCAGAATTTTATGAGTTACTACTGTAAGGTACTTATTATCTTGTCGTATAAGAGCCCTTTTCAATCTATGCTCTCGTTATTTTTCTCATTAATGTTGTGATTGGTTACTTTATAATTTGTATTATTTTTCAATTGCCTTAGAGGAAGCTATTAAGAGAAAAAATACGTAAATCTATCTGAATTTCAGTGTGTAAATACTCTTTGGAAAAGTAGTTGAATATAGGGCTAAAGTGAAAGCTGTATTCCATATGAGCCTGAATATTTTAGTTCTCAATATAGAGACTGAAAACAAACCCAAGCCAAAGTTAAACATCTCACCATGACCAGAATAAATAAAAGCACAGAGTATCAGCACTGTCCATGGATAAAGATGGAATAATTTGAGCAACTAACAAAACTAATTATTCTATTAAAATTTAAAATATTAAACATATTTATTAGTTTATGAAGACAGAGATAAATGACCAATTAACTAAGTAAATGATAGCAAACAGATTACTCATTTGAGTGTTTTCTCTTCACTTCTTAGTCTATTTTTGTAGTCTTTCTGGTCATTACTTATTTTCTCATACCTTAATCCACTCTCTAATGCCTTGGGAGGAACAGGGCATTTCACTATTTTCAGTTTTCAATACATCCTTCCCTAATGATTTCAGTTCTTTTAACCTTGGGGTCAATCACTCTTTTATGTTTTAATTTCACCTGAACATGTGTCTCTTTCCAGGAATCTTTGCTTTTCTCAGGTCTCACAAGTCCAGTGGCTCCTTTACCATCTTCAGGTGAATGACTAATAGGATTATTAACTGTGACTGCAATATGTCCTACCAGTAAGATCTCTCTTTTATAAAATACTTATTCAAGCTTTTGCTAATCTGTGACAATGTTTTTAATTCATAGGCTTTGTTTCTTGATATAACATCAGTAACTATACAACTCAGTCCTTGATGAGGAAGATCAGAAGTTCATGGTCATCTTAACTACATGGCATGTTTAAGAACAGCACAGGCTACATGAGACCCTGTCCAAAAACTGATGATTTCAGTTTGCTTAAAATCATCTAAAGTTGCCAGGTGTTGGTGGCACATGCCTTTAATCCCAGCACTTGGGAGGCAGCGGCAGGCAGATCTCTGTGAGTTCCAGGCCAGCCTACAAAGCCACAGAGAAACCCTGTCTCGAAAAACCAAAAAAAAAAAAAATCATCTAAAGTTTCTAAACTGATTTTTTGGGGGGGAGTTGTTAAGAAGAACAAGAAAGTCTTAGCAAGCCAGCAATTCTCTGAATGAGAATTTTGAATTCAAATTTCCTATTACTTAATATAATTACTTATTAGAGAGGAAGACATAACATTGCTTACCAAATGATAATCAAATTGCTATAAAAGTTTTCTTTCACTACTATTCTACTAGCATTAATGATTTATATTTTTCACTTATTTAAGTTTTTAAATTGTTACTTATGGAGGAATGTTGAGTCATTTTCTTTATTAATATTAATATTTGAAATGTTTAGTTATGGGAAAATAATTCACTCATTCCTCAGATTTTTAATTAACTAGCTTTAATTGCTGTTTCTTCTTCTCTTTTCAGATGTCTTCCTACTCATTTCTTTTCCCTTCTCCTTCTTCTCCCTTCAGCCCCCCTTCCTATTCTCTATAGTGGGAAATTACCAATACGGAGTCAGGTATTTAATACCTGAAGGAAAAGTCTTACTTACAGAGTGACCTAGCAAGCTGGTGTGGCAGTGGTCTGTAGGCAAGCCCAAAAGTGAAACCGAAAGAGAAAACCCAGTCACTCGACCTCATCCTGACTGTGCCCTGGCAAGCGTGGTCAGGCATATGTGTAGCCAGCCCCTAAGTAGGCATGGCTACAGCTTCTCCTACAATTCCCCTTTTAGTCTAAAAGAGGATTAAAACTTAACAGTGTAAAGTATCTAAAATTAACGATCATAAAGGTAAAATATAAGAAGATACAACAATCTGCTTATGTCACATCCTAACTATCTATTTTAACTAAACCCTAAAGTCATCTGAAAGAGGGGTCCAAGCCTGAACACCTCTTTCTAATCCCAACCATAAACAATAGGAAGCTTTCCCTAACTAGGTATATACACTATCCTAAGTGACAACAATGGGGAAAGGGGGCATAGCATCCTCTAAGTTACTTTCTATTGAAATGGGACAATGATAGTCATGTGGGGTCCTGTAGGAAGAAAATATTAGTATAGTGAAAGTCTTGAATGAATTGTAACCAGTCCATGTTAGATGGGATTTACTTGATTGAAGAACTTGCTTAAAATCCTCAACTTGATTGAAGTCAGTACCCGAACCTCTGGCTGGAGTGTCAGTTGAAATGGAGCAAGTTGGATCCAGTGCAGTCGAGGGGGTATGGCCCATTTTCTTTCCAGGGTGTCCAGGTATTTTTGTTAGGTAAGTCTTTATTGGCTGTGTGGGACTCAAACATAAACAGCAGAGAAATGTTTGCTTGTGGATATACACATGCTGGGGAATGTAACCTTGAGAACATAACAATTATGAGAGGGTGAACACCTTGAAAGAAAGAGCCAAGAAAAGACAAAGACAGTCTCCAAATTTTTCCTTTATTCTGTATTATATCAGTTGGCTTCTTAATACAATACAGAAACATTAAAGTTTAGTTAAATAATTTGTTTAGATTTTAGAGGAGGAAAGCCAAATCCATCTCTAAATCTAGCATTGGTTTAATTCAATAGGTACTAGGAAATAAAGAGAAATAGAGTTCTCTGAGAGACAGCTGTAAAGTTTATAATATGGCATGTTCCTTTTTTTTTTTGATGGTTATAGGTACCTTTTCTTCTTAAGTATCTACCCATGTAGTGTCCTTTGCCTTTTGGAGATGAGTTTTTCTGTGAAGATAAAAGCAAAACACTTCCCTTTCTTTGGGGGGTTTCTATTTAGTTTATAATATACATCTTAGTAGAATACCTGTCATTTGTCCTCATTGAGAGGTTTTTCCTTTTTTACTTGAATCTTGATCAACTTTGATGTTATCTAGAGTTTTTCTTCTCCTGTAGAAACTAATGTAAAACCCCTACCCCAATGCAACATATGTCCTGGTTTCCATACAGAGGTTAGTACATCTTTGAAGTATACTGGCTGATTTAGTTTAGCAGTTTTCTCCGTAGTCTAGTGTCTTTCTGCAGCTGTTTGTCCTTTCTCATTGGCATTAAGAAAGTTTAATGTTAATAAAGCATTATGTAACCTATGTTTGGGGGGGTTAGTCTTCCAAGCTTGTTTGTTGAGCATCTCCTTAAGTGTTTTATTAGATCTCTCAACTACTGTTTGTCCTGTAGGATTGGGTGGTATACCAGTAACATGCTTTATCTTATAATATTTGAAAAATTGTTCCAATTTTGTAGAGACATATGCTGGAGCATTGTCAGTTTTTATTTGTGTAGGTATACCCATAACTGCCATCACCTCTACCAGGTGTGTAATAACAGAATCAGCTTTTTCAGAGTTAAGACCAGTAGCCCATTGGAACCCTGAGAATGTATCTATTGTATGATGTACATATTTTAAATTTCCAAACTCTGTAAAGTGAAAGACATCCATCTGCCAAACCTCATTTATCCAAATGCCCTTGGGATTACAACCTGCTGGCAATGGAGTATGATTATAAAAGGAACAAGTAAGACAGTTTCTCATTATCTTCTTGGCTTGTTGCCAAGTGATGGACAAGTTCTTTTTTAAACCTTTGTTATTTACCTGATGTTTCTTATGAAATTCTGAGGCTTCTAGCACATTTCCAATTAATAAACCATCAATCTCATCATTGCCTTGTGCTAGTGGGCCTGGCAGACCTGTATGGGATCTGATATGTGTAATGCATATAGGATTACTTCTGTTTCTGATAGTTTCCTGTAATTGGTACATTTCCAATTAATAACCGATTAATCTCATCATTGTCTTGTGCTAGTGGGCCTGGCAGACCTGTATGGGATCTGATATGTGTAATGTATATAGGATTACTTCTGTTTCTGATAGTTTCCTGTAATTGTAAAAACAATGAGGTTAATTTTGTATTATCAGGAACGAATTCTGTAGTCTCAATGTGTAACACGACTCTCTCTGCATATTGGGAATCAGTAACTATATTAAGAGGTTCTGTAAAATCCATAAGTACCATGAATATTGCATATAATTCTCTCTTCTGTACAGATGTATATGGACTTTGAACTACTTTACTTACCTCATCTGCTTTATAACCTGCCTTACCTGATTTGTTGGCATCAGTGTCGAAAGTAAGAATTCCAGAAATGGGAGTTTGTCTTACAATATGTGGAAGAATCCAGACTGTCTTTTTTATGAATTTAATTCTGTCAGTTTTGGGGTAATTGTTGCTAATTGTCCCCAAAAAGTCAGTAAGAGCTATTTGCTAATATTCATTATCTTTCCATAAGGAGGAAATTTCCTCATTAGTTAAAGATACTATAGTTTCGGCTGGATATTTTCCAGTCAGTTGAGGAAGTCTTAATTTTTCCTTTAAAATCAAATTAGAAAACTTTTTTATATATGTCTTTTGCTACGCCCACGGCGGTCACGCCGGTGTAGCAGAAGATGCCACTAAAGTGGGCTAAGGCCGATGGGTTGGGGTCTGTGCTCCCTGGAGATGAGCCCCAGG